GTGTGTGTGTGTGTGTGTGTGCATCTTGTTGGTTGTATTTCTCTGGACAACCCTGACTAATACACTGGCCCACAAAGCCTAAAACATACATATCATGATCTGAGTTTTCAAACTATCTGTATCATCATGTGAGGGTGAAACAAGAAGGGTCTGTGAAATGGTTTATATTTCAATTATCCAGCCACAGAGACATGTTTATAGGAATCTTTCAGCCTCTGAGTCAACTCTACCTGCAAAAAAATCACTTTATTTCCCCCTGAAATCTCCATGAAGGCAAAACCTGTGTCTCTCTTGATCTCTGCCTTGGATCTAGTGAGAAATTAATATCTTTGAATGAGTGAATAATTAAACACACAGAAAACAGAACAAAGATATTACAAAATCCAGACTCTGGTGTGAACTTTTCCATTCTTGTGGATGTTCTAGTAGGAAAATCCATTGAGTTGGGATTTCCTGCTCATAAACATTCAGCATCTTGAAGAGCCTTTGAAGGAAGGAGAGGCTTCAGAAAAAAAGATGTAATCCAAAGTGACCAAGAAATTGGGCCACATCTGGCCCTTTATATGTTGAAAGTTTTCTGAGCACACTGAAGGACACAGAAAAATTCCAGATTTTGCAGATCTTGAGTGTCAAACATGGTTGACATGGTGAATTTCTTGAAACACACACAACAAAGTCTTGTTTATCCTCTCAATGGCTCAGAGAATAACAGCTCCGATCTTCCATGGGATAAGAGGATATAATTCAAAACATTTTTTAATTAACCTAGAAAAAATATTTTAGGAATAATATTCAACACTACCGAAAGATAATTTTAAAGTTTCCTTTGGGGCATCTGGGTGGCTCAGTCAGTTATGTGTAACTCTTGGTTTCAGCTCAGGTCATGATGAGGGTCATGAGATTGAACCCCATATTGGGCTTCATGCTCAGCACAGAGACTGCTTGAGATTCTCTCTCCCTCTGCCTCTGCCCCTCCCACTCATGCTCTCTCTCTAAAATAAATAAATAAATGTTTTTTTAAAGTTTCCTTTGAAAAAAAGAAATAAGAAATTTAAGAAGCCTTCAATCACAAAATTTCCCTGCCAGGTGAATATGTCAGAGTAAGATCAAAAGGCCGTATCAGGAAGATGGCGGAGGAGTAGGAGACCTAAATTTCCTCTGGTCCCAGGAATTCAGCTAGATAGGGATCAAATCATTCTGAACACCTTCAATCTCAAATGATCAAAGAAGAGAATAGCAGCAACTCTCCGAACAAAAAAGCAACCACTTTCTGGAAGGTAGGATGTGTGAAGAAATGAATCCGAGGCGATATTCAGGAAAACAGACGGTGGGGGAGGGGGTCTCCATCAGCTGCTACTGGCAAGTGATAGAGCACCAGAGCACAAAATCGGAAATTTTAGCAGTCGGCTCTGCTGAGGGATGTCACTCCAGTGGCTAAGCGGGGGGTGGAACCCTCGCTGGGACAGTGTGGTCTCAGGACCCTCAGGGTCACAGAAAGACCGAGGCTGCCTGAGTGTGGCAGGGCTCCCAGGTATCAGAGCGGGGAAGCTGGCTGCAGAGACAGAGCCGAGGAGTGGGCTCCCAGCTCGGGGTTGCCATAAGCCGTGATCTGAGGCACAGTCGGGCCACTTCTTCTCCAGCAGGGACCCAACAAGTGGCAGATCCGGGGAGACTCCCCTTCCTCCCCCGGGAGGAGCAGCGCAGGAGCACACGGCAGGGATCTGCTGGGTTTGGAGACTCCACACGGGGTTGTGCGCCAGAGATAGAAACGCTCAGTCACAGGCCAGGTGAGCATAGAGTGCGGCCAGAGACCAGGGAGACAGAGTCATTGACTGCTTCTCTCTGGGGGCTCACTGAGGAGGGGGACCCCAAGTTCTCGGCTCCTCCGGGGGGGGAGATTGGGAGGCCTCCATTTTCACTCTTGTCCTCCAAAGCTGTACAGAAAGCTTGCAGGGAACAAAAGCTCTCGAGAGCAAACCCCTCCCCCAGAAGATCAGCAAGAACAGCCAGCCAAGACCAAGTTTACCGATCAATGAGAAGGGCAGAACTCCAGC